CCCCCCCCACCCCTCCTCCTCCTCCGTTTTTAATCTGAGTACAAATTGCTGTCAGCACATCAAGTTCGTGTGCCAGCCGCACTCGGTACACTCTGTTCTCAGCTCTTCAAAAACAAAATCGCTGCAGGCACCGAGAGAACAATAAGTCAGAGCTGCAAGCGGAGTGATGTTCCTTCGGTGGCTTTTTTTTTCCCTGTAATCCAAGAGCAACTGCAGCCAGCTGACCCGCTCCTGGAAACCCGAGTGGAGATTTTCCTCCCCTTTGCCTTGGTGTATTTTGTGTGCAATTAAAATAGAGAAAAACTATCCTCGAAAGGAAGGATTGCAGCATCCTCCTGTGCATCCTGTTTTAAAGCGGGATCTTCCCGTCGCTGCTGCATCCTGCTGGGGACAAGGGACCTGGGAGAGCAGCAGCTTTTGGGATGGGGGATTGTGGATCTGTACTCACTGAGAACACGCAGGGAGATGGCTGTGGGGTTGCGGGGTTACCTGTATTTTAGGCTGAATTTTCCACTTTCCGATGCCTAAGAAAATGGCCAGCTTGGTTTTGGGTAGTGCAAAAGCAGAGGTCGGCCCTGCAGGAGCTGGGTTTGCCTTTTGTCCTCATCCTGAGCTGGGGGGGGGGCACACTCCAGCCTGAGCCTCCTGGTCACTGCCTGCCAGGGATGGATGCAGGATGAGTGCCGGGGTGCTGGCAAGCACACGAGCTTGCTCTGGCTTTGGTGGCAGGAGGGGGGTGACGAGACAGAGCTTGGTGTCCCGTCCCCAGAGAGCATCCTCGGGCTGTGGTACGGCCCTGGGAGTGGGGGTCTGCCTGCAGGCTCAGTCCCTGCGTCTCCTCCCAGGAACTTTCCATGGGTCCCGGGGCAGGGAAGTGTCCCGGGGGCAGACGGGCAGGTTTCCTTCAGGCTGCGGCTCTCCCCTGGGGAGCCCAGACCCTCTCGGCTGTGTCCAGCACTGTGTCTGCTTGCACTCGCCTCCTGCCTCCCAGGACGAGATGCTCGGTGCCCCGCAGTGGCTCAGGTCCCATCCTGTGGCTCCGTGCGGTGCTGGAGGGGCTCTGAGAGCATCCCCCGGCCTCGAGGGCTGTTTTCTTTCCACGCATCCCTCCTCTCCCCGCTTCAGCAGCACTTGCACGGGCAATCTCTCCTCTGCTCTGCAGCAAGCGAAGGTAAAACTCGTGTCCTTCGAGGCTGCAAAGTCCATAAGCAGAGTCGTGGTGCTTACCATGAATTTTCTCTCTTAAAAGCTTTTTTTGTTAGTTTTGGCTTTTTTTTTTTTTAACGGTACGTTGGAGCGCCTTACGAAATTGCTTTTCCTTTATACCTGCCCACACGTGTATGCTTTGTACCCTGCAAGCAGAGTGCAAAGAACATAAAACTGTCCCCAAAGCCCGCAACGTCTTCTGGATCGAATAAATAAAGAATAATCTTGCCGTGGAAACCCAGCCAGGAGTACCAGGTGGTGAACGTGCCAGGTACCCAGTGTCCGCTCCGGCTTCGCTTCTGCCAGCGTCTGGGGCTGGAACAGCACAGTTATTGGTTGAAGATTAAAAAAAAAAAAAAAAGAAAGAAATAAAATAATGTTTATCTTGTACTTTGAGTACTTAGAGGCAGGAGAACATAGCCTTGTTTTTGAGGTAGAAGGCAAGGCGATATAGCGCTGTATAGAAGATTTGTAATCGCCATGATAAACTCTGCGTGGCGGCGTGCCAGGAGCAATATCCAGTTCCAGTAAGGCTTGACTCGTGCAGTTGAGTACGAGGGGAACATATTAGTCATGATGTTTATCTGTTGTCTGGTCCTTGGTTAGAGGAGATAGGCCTGTCTTGCTTTTCAGCAATGTTTCCAAGCCCTCCCCATCCCTCTCTGCTCACCGGGGGCTCCTTGGCTGCCCCCAGCCCCGTGTATTCCCCCTTCCGGAGCTGGATTTTGGGAGATGGGCTTTATAAGAGACTTTCTAAGATGCTTTCTTCGGAGCCCGCCTTGCCTTGGTTTGGGTGGCTCTAGGTGCGATCCTGCCCTGTCCCCTCTCGCCCCCCTGCAGTTCACCTGGAGGGGTTCTGCGGCGGCACCAGGTTCGACTGCAAAGACGTGAAGTTCGTCGTGGGCGAAGGGGAGGACCACGACATCCCCATCGGCATCGACAAAGCCCTGGAGAAGATGCAGAGGGGAGAGCACTGCATCCTCTACCTCGGGCCACGGTAAGGAGCAGCCCCACGGGGATGCTGTCAGCTGCCAGCACCCGAGGTCGTTTTAGCACTCGTGGAAGACAGTGATCCCAAAAAGCGGACTTTCTGGGAGAGCCTCGGGTTAGCCATGCCCGCAGGGGTGGCAGGAGTCACCGGTGGCCTGTGGGCAGGAATCTTGAGATGTTTTAAAAAAATCAGGTAAAAGGGTTTTCTCCGAGTCGTGTGGCTGAAAGGAAAATGTCTCCCTGGAAATCAGGGAGCTGTGTCCTTGCACCGGAGAGGAACGTGTATAAAAAGATGGATTTGAAGCAGCGGGAGAGGCTGGTTTCCAGTACACGATGCATTGTGTGTTGTCAGGTATCTTTGCTCGGGGAGAATATTTCACCCTGGCCCCACAATGTTAGAAAGCTGCAGGCACGGAGCTGGGTGCGAAACCAGAATGAGTGACCTGGGTCTGTTTTTAGGGCCAAACGCTGCCCAAATGGCGACTTCCAGCCCCTCCCCTGACGGCTCCTTTCTGCCCTTCCAGGTACGGCTTTGGCGAGGCGGGGAAGCCGAAATACGGCATCCAGGCGAACGCGGAGCTGGTGTACGAGGTCACGCTGAAAAGCTTTGAAAAGGTGAGGGCAGGAGCGTGCTGGTCCCTCCCCAGGTTACGGGAACGCCGGGCCCTGTGCCGCGGCCGCCCTTTGTCCCTGGCGTGGCCGCAGCCCGGCCCCTGCTGGAGTGGCTACGTCACCCAGGATCTCTGTGTTCTTGACTTGTTCTTCTCTGTTGGTTTGTTTTATTCTTCTGGCTGGGGTCCAAGGCTGGTTCTCTTATTTATTCCTAGCCTTGTTCCTTTTGTATGGTCTTTTCTTTTTTTCTTTTCTTTTTTTTCTTTTTATTTGGTTTTTCCCTTTTTATTTTTTGGCTTTTTCCCTTTTTACTTTTTCGCCTTTTCCCTTTTTACTTTTTCGCTTTTTCGCCTTTTCCCTTTTTCGCCTTTTCC